CAAAGAATGACTTACCTTGCCACCCAAGGAAGAGTTGAAATTCAATGAAGGGTTGGAATTACCAAGATGAAGCTTGCGGATGTGACCAGTTAAGTCATCGCAGATAACTCCGGTCCAAGTACAACAGTCGGAATCTTCTTCATCAACCCACGAAGAAAGCCGATTTGCAGGGTCCTTGAGATCTTGCTTGAACATCAAAAGGGATTGCTTTTCGTTTTCTTTGCAAAGCGAAGTCCAGCCCAGATTTTCATTGCAGGAACCAAAACTAATTGAAATGGTTGCAATAGCTAGAGCCCTGATTAGAAGTAAAACAACTATCATGGTTATGTCCATAAAGTTTTAGTTTATGAATTAGATGATGTGCGCGCGTGTGTATATATATACATATACATACACAATGGCAGACAGTCAGACTTGTTGAACCTTTGACAATGTTGAAAGGTTGAAAATTCATGCAGAAATAATCAAAGCTTTGATTATTTTATTTTTTTCGGACTTTCATCTTCCCCCGAAATTAACGGAAGGCAAAGTCACCAGCCTTCGTTTTCTTGAAAATTGACAGATCAACGTTCCATCGAAGTGGTGCTCTCTGACCAATTGAGTGGTCGGTGGTGTCAAACAATCAGCCTATGCTAATATTAATCAAAAAGTTCACAAGTGGCAGCACCGCTCATGAATACAAGTTATATAGAACAGTCACTTGAGAAATGTAGTCGAAATACAAACTTTTACATTCAACGGGTAAAAACCAAGTCTTGCAATCTACAAAAGTAGCTACATGTATTGAACAACTACATCGTGAAGTTTAAATACAATGCTATTCAGGAATCCAGAAAGAAGAATGCTCCATGGCATGTTTACCAGCAAAGAAACAAGCACGCTCCAAAAATTGAAGAAGAATCCTAGTCCCAAGCTCAGGTAGAACCACTTATCTTCAAGTAAACGGTATCCTCCTCCTCTGTCTTGCTCAACTGTTGGCGGCACCATCCTATCTGCACTGCAATTCTTGTCCAGTGGAGCTCCGCCAAAGTTCATTGCCGATGAAGCAAGCTGACCAAGGCTCTAAAGCTGAGTGCTTTTTGGAATCTCTCCCGTCAAATTGTTGTAGGACAAGTTTAAGTTAATCAGAAATGTCAAACTCCTCGTGCTTTGGGGAATCCAACCATCAAGTTGGTTCATTGATAAATCCACAGACTCTAACCATTTCATGTTAACAAGTTCTGAAGGGATTCTTCTGGTCAAAAGATTTTTGGATAGATTCAATGATTGCAAACCGCGGAGGCTGGTCAGTTCCTCAGGGATCTCTCCTGATATCATGTTCTCTGAAAGGTCCATGATTACTACCAATCTAAGCATTATCCAACCATATTCTGCTTCTCTCCCCTTTGTCACCAACTTTACATTATCCAGATAAGTGTCGTACATCAACAATACCTTGTAAACATCTGGCGTGGTGGTCATGGCACTGAAATATCTTGGTATTATTCCGGAAAGGTTGTTATGTGCAAGGTCCAATACGTGGAGACTTTTCAGCTGACAGTTCATGAGGAATGTGTCCTGGAAGCTTATTTGAACGAATGTTCAGAACCCTCAAATTCGAAAGGCTCTCTCAAATCCATGTTGGAAGGCTTCCGGAAAGCTTATTTTGGCCAAGGTCAACAAGAAGCAAATTCGAACAGTTTTGCATGGACAAAGGCAATTCTCCAGATAGATGATTATCTTGCAACTGCAGTGCTTTCAGCTGTTTTCAGTACCCTATGGAGATTGGAATATTCCCAGTTAACTTGTTGCCTTTCAAGTTTAAAGTTAACAACAATTTCCAGTTCATCAAACAATTAGGAATTTCTCCAGTGAGAAGATTGTCCCGAAGATATACAGAAGTAAGTTCTTTTGGCTCGTCCATCCTATCACCGAAGAAGTGGATGAGAGATCCAGAAAGTGAAGAGTTTGCAAGATTTAGTATCCTTACTGAGGAGGAAACCAGAGGCAATGACCCATTGAACTGGTTAGAACTTAGGTCAATATGGCGCCCCACAACTATATTTTGAAGCTTCCCATGCATTTGGTTGTGGGAGAGATTACAGTATGCAACTGCAAAGATATGTTCCAAAACCAAGTTGGAATGGTATCTGAAATTCCTGCATTGGGTAGGCTTAGAACCACCAATTGCGTTTGTGTTTGAAGCCACATAGGAAAATCAGGCCCTAGATGCCAACAATCCAACCATAAACGCTGAAGTTGAAAAGGAGGAAGCCAATCCTCTTGCATTATTGGCATCTAGGGCGTGAGCTGACCCTATTCCTTGTAAGAAATTATAAGATATATCGAAATCAGTCAGCATTCCGAGCTGACCAATACCTTCTGGAAGAGCTCCCTTAAACTGGTTGTGAGAAATGAGCAATCGGGTTAAGTGCGATAGATTTCCTAATGACTCTAGGATGAGACCTGATATTGAATTGCACGAGAGATCAAGGTGGATTATTCTTTTAAACTTTTCAACATGCTCTGTCAAATGACCTGAAAGATTATTAGACCCCAACAACAATGACTCTATTCGAAATGAACTGCACCCGGACAAACTCTCAAAGACTTCAGATACACTTCCATGGAACCTGTTGTGTGACAGATCAAGATGAATCAACTCACAAAGCTTGTCCAACGAAAGATCAGTTCCCTTGAGAGATGTAGTGGCATTTGTGGAGGGATGGATGGAAACTGAACCTTGGAAACCACAACTTTTGAGAGAAAGAGAAACTAGATTTGTAAGACTAAAAACCCATCTAGGCATCAAAGAATTAAATGGGTTCCCGAAAAGATCGAGGATGGAAAGGGAAGTAAAATTTATGATAGGCAGAAGAGGGGGAATGTGATCAAGTTGACAATAGACCATACGTAACTCTACCAAAGAGGGGAGCATGTTCACTGTTTTCAACCAGTTAGATGATTTGCTAAGATTAACAAAACTCATGTCGAGGTGTTTCAAGTGGGGAAGACCAGAAATCCATTCGAGATTCTCAGCCTTCAGTGTGTCATCACGGAGGCCAAGATACCGTAGATTTGTGAGGTTTCCCAATTGAGGAGGAATTAATCCTTGAAAACCAGCTTCTGAGATGTTAAGATATCGTAAAGTTTTAAGAGAACCAAAGAAGCTAGGAATCTGCAATCCTTGAAACTTGTTGTAACTCAAGTCCAAGTAGTTAAGATTCTTCAAATGGAGCAAAGAAGGATTTACCTTACCACCCAACCAAGTATTCCTATAGTAGTTATCTCCATAAGACTCATGGATATCCTGATGAGAATTGGGATTAGTGAGGCGGAGCTCGCGAATGTGACCAGTTAAGTGATCACAGACAACTCCAGTCCAATTGCAACAGTCTCCATAACTAGTCCATGACAAGAGCCGATTTGAAGGATCCTTAAGATCTTTCTTCAACATCAGAAGCGCTCGTTTCTGACCTTCTTTGCAAGGTACACCCGGACTTCCGCTGCGTAAACCGACACTGAAAAATGGAATAATGGTTGCAATAGTTAGAAACCTGATCATCAGAGGTAAACCAGCTCTCATGGGGCTCTCCATAAAGTTGAGTTATATGAATCAAGTATGAGCAATGAGGGTGTGTCTATATATATATATATATATATATATATTTCTAGATTAATAATTTCCACAACAAATTTCTTAAATAAGTTATATAATCTTTATTAAAGGAATATAAACTTATTTGTAGTCCACATTATTGACTAGATTTCATATCTTGAACGTCAAAGGTTGAAATATTTCAACATTTGACGTTCAAATTTGAAATTGCAACGTTTGATGTTCAAGCGTGAACAATGAACTAGACTATCAATTTCCAGTTGTTAGAGCTTTGATTTAGATTGTACAAGTAGTTGTGCTCGCGTGTTGTTGTGGGGTTAAAAATATTGTCTAAGGTGTAGAAAGTATTGAAAATATGTGTCAAAGAATATTGTTTATACATATATTACATCTGCAAACAAAATATGCATATTGTTAGAAAGAAAGAATGTGTTTACAAACTTGTAGTGAAAAATATAACAGAATCCTGGAACACTCAAATTATTGAATTAGTATACAAACTTATGTGTATTTATACCAATACATACATGTGTGTGTTATATTTGGGGTCAATTCATGAATAAGACTAAATAGAGATGGTCTTTTTCACCCTGATGAAGTATGAAAACGTACGAGTATTTTGACTTTTACCACCAGAACAAAGAGCCGTCCTTATTCTTCACGAGTCAGTTCACCCCATACCATTAAGGACGGAGCTTGAAATTCTTCTAGTGGCGGCAACCCGAAAAATAACTAGCAAAACTTTACTATAGTATGGCTGCTTACACCCATAAGATAATGAGGATGATTTCAAATAATAACATATCACAGTTCCATCGTTACAAAATTGCACTGTAGTAGTGAAAAGTGGTAATGTGAATAGAAAAATCTTAACACGTGAGAGGGGAGAGAGGAGTTTTTTTGTTTGAATGATGGAACAAAAACACTTGTAAATCGTGATCGTATAACATTTAATATGGAGTAGAAGTAGTTTTTAGATAGTGCTTGATATTAGATACATAAAAATAAATAAATAAAAGCACACGACCGGAGTCTGAAAGTGGAATTGACAACAGTGCATGCTTCCAGTCCAAGGTCGACCAAAATTCAAATTTTTTGTCATCGTAATTTCAAAGAATTAGTCTTTTATTTATTTATACTAGCTTAAATAAACGTATTATGTATCACGATTTGACTTTGATCCCAAGATAGCTCTGTTTTCTTGTTCGAAAATTGCCCGTTTTTGCTGCCGAGGACATATTTGGTTCCATCAAATTTTCAAATGTCGTGCCTTCCTTCAGTCACCCGCAGGCCGGCGAAGGCGGCAAGCTTAGTAAATCCAACTCGTGTACAACTGTATATATATACAAGCGATAATGAGAGAGGAAAATTGAACTTACAACCTTCGAGACGGAAGCAAATGTTAACCATTTTAACTACAAGCCTTTGGACCAATGTGGATGGTTATCAACGATGCTCCAATCTTAGTCAAGCTGTTATCAATAAAAAAGTTGGCAATTGAAAGCAACAAGCAGGAGATGGATTGTAATTGTCTAGGAAAAACCAAAACCAAAAGTTTGAGTTCATCTCAGCATTTTCATATAAACAACAAAGCATAACTTCAAACTCTTATGTTCTCACGAAATGGAAAAGGTACGATAAAATAGAACTGCGGGCACACTGACATGTTTAGTCACGCAACATATTCATCCAACCTTCATGGCCGAAAGTTCCACGGGTTCCAATCACATCCCTCAGAGCTTGCAGGAAGAGCTCCAGCGTTTGATCCCCCAGAGTGCCGAAAGTCACAAGGAAACATGTTTGTTTCTGCGGCACCTAGCCCTAGTGAGCTTGCAGGAGGAGCTCCAGTGTTTGACCCCCCTCCACTCCGACCATGCCCAAACCATTGATCTATGTCTGACAAATTTATAGGCCTCATGCTGATTCCAGAGGCTGGTGTGCCCGAGCCTTGCCCTTGCTGCTGGAATGGTTTGAAGTCAGGTATTTGTGGTCCTATCTCCGCTTGCCTCAACCCGTTCAGACCTTGGCTTGCCTGCTCGAAACTATTACTTCCATACAGTGTGCTTCCACTACCACCCATAGGTTGAAATTGATGCTGTCCACCTCCAAAACAATTTGAGTTCAGCCCATGTGTGGAGCCAAAGGCTGGGCTCCAACTTGAATTAGAAATAATTGGAGGGCAATGCCACCTTATCGAAGAAGGCGGTGACTGGCCATAAACCTTTTCACAGTTCCCCCTTAGATCTGAAGCAGGCAGACCAGCTATAAAAGGATTCCTACCCCTACCAACATCAGTCCCAATGCTGTTGTTAAACAAGGCATTGATTGAGGGCACAGTCCCAATATACTGACCATTATGGTGCTCAATGTTTGTTTGAGCACCGGAGTATAGAGGTGGGGTGGAACTCCGAAGGATATTTGAAGGTTGAGTATTTATGATGCCATTCTGAAATAATGCCACATTAAGATCTAGATCACTAAACTGAAAGTTTGAAGTTGAATTACAAGGATTAAGAACTCCGGCTGTTTGTAACTTCTGCTCGGCAACCCCTTGCGCTGTTACAAGCAAATGCAGAATACTGAATTAAGTCCTTGATCAATATCTCATATGAAATAAGGATAGTCGAGTACTTTATAATTACTGTAGCCAAAATGTAAATTTCAAAGTTGAACTTGGGGCATGCGTAGTTTGTACTTACACCGACCCCTTAAAGGCATCCCATAAGTTGACCTATCAGCATAACTGTTCATGATGTTCTTGCTCCTCTTACCAGCTCTTGATATTTTCGAGGAACATACACTTTCAAAACTTTTATAATCTTTCTCGAGGGCTTCAAACAATTCCACCGCTAGATTTTTCATATCACAAGCCTGGACAACCATAAATTGAATATAGTTAAGGAGAAAATGGAGATTTCAAGAGCATAAAATGTTGGTCAACCTTGACGATAACAACAGTGCTCAGTGGACTGACCTTTCGATTAAAGATGGAAGATGGAGCGTTGTATGACATTGCATTACTGAATACCAAAAACACATCGTGCTGTACATCAACCAAAGGAACATCAAAACTAAAGCACCAGATTTGTGTATCAGTATTAACAATACAATCACAAATGTGATGGAATGGAACACAGTTTCTTTTAATCCTACCACCATAAAGTAGAACAAAAACTAAATTTGATAAGGAAACTTATGAACCAAACCCAGCCGACCTGTTTACGCCGAAACAAATGTGTATACACATGCTGACTCAAATTTTTCAGCAAATACAGAAGGGGAGAGGAGATTAAATACAGAAGCTCAAAAACCAGTTCTCTCTTCCGAGCCTTACTGAAAGGAAAAACAAGTAGAGAACTAAGGAGTATAGAAGCACACCTGAAATTCTTCCAGTGTTCTGTAGCTTCCTCCACTGAGTTTTTCTGAAATCGTGCCGAAATCCATTGGCTCTTTAATGATATCATTGTACCCTTTAACCTTTCACATCAAGAACCATATATTAGCAACTATAAAAGTATATACACTTGGAAAGACCATAAATAAAGAGGGCAAACCTCTTGTGGGTTTACTGGTTTTGCAAACATATTGTACAAGTCTTTCCTGTAGTTAAAGTTGAAGAAAGATAAAGGCATTAACTTTCTTGATGAGGAATTCACTGAAGAAGGAGCTAATCACTTATACGAGCAAAAGAAAAAAAATTTCACTTCGTAAATATTATAGCATGGCCAACTATATATACTCCCTAAGAAAAGATGTCATAACCCAGAGTTTACTTTTGCAGAACGCTAAGAAGCAGTTCAAGCTTCCCTGATTCTGGTAGAGGTGCCTCCGATAGTGCAGCTACTTGATTAAATACAAGAAAAATGAATTAGTGAGTCTTTTCCATCATAGCATAAATATATATAAAGTTGCAATTTAAATCTTAAGAGGAAAAGAAGTACATACCACCACCAGAGTTTGTACAATTGTTGTTGCTCGAATTACCAACCTACAATTTATGAACAAAAGAAAAAAGAATAAAAAACAATGACACCTGTGCAAAATCCACAATAAATAAACTTGTCCTTCCATTCAAAATAAAATAACTTAAATAAAACACAAGTATTTAGAAAAGAATGCAGAGTGCCTACCAGATTTTATTACTAAGAAATTATGCTTGATTAAAAAAACTCAAAACAATAAATTAATCATCATATAGTCTGATATATTTATTTAATATCAGGTATACATACATAAATATATACTATGTTAACACAATTCAACATTTCCACCTCTTGTTCAATAACTGTTCCAGTTTTCACAGCATTATTAAGGACACACCTCTGTTTTCAAAGGATGCTCATTTCTACTTGCAGCCAGATCTTGGACAGGTCTACTCTTAACCCTTTTTCTTCTCCGTTTATGGCAGGAATCATCTTCTTCAGAAGACACATCCTCTTCTGCATAACATATTAATGTGCCCTTACTTTCCGCCCTTGATTCAAGTTCCAACAATCTCGCACTTCTTCTTCTTTCCCCATTCGACATCATTGCTACTGCTATTTGTTATTTTCCAGTCTCCTGATCCATAAATCAAGTGATAAATATTAGGGATGAAGCATGGTAATTTCAAGAAGACTCTTAGATATTCATGTTATATATTCAATTTTGGAAAAGTAAAAGTGTCAGAAAAATTAAAGGCACTGAAATTCCTTGTGATTCCACAAAAGTTTAGTTTTAGTAGAAGGGTAAGGGTTACATCGGATATATTTGTTCCTAAACTAATCTGTGGGGAGGTTCTCAGACTTCACAAAACCAAGTTCATAGGTGCTCCTCTTACTACAAAACTCACTTAAGAGCATAGTTAGAAAACTCACTGAACTTTCATATTCTCTCACATCCTCTTAGATAGGAAACCATCACATCTTTCAGGCTTTTTTTAGATTGGGCCCCCTTTTCATCTCATTTAAAAAACTGATTTGCATTATAATCCACCATGAAAAATGGGGAAAAAAATGAATGAACTGATGCCACCTGATCTTAGATTTACAATGTGATGGAACACAAATTCAGGTATTACTCAACTGAAACATTGCAAGTTTTACAATAAATGCAAACCAAAAAAATCAAACCCACAATCGTATTTTACTCTGCAGAATGAAATATGAGTAATTATGTTAACTTTCATAAGCTAAATTTCTTATTTGCAGTGAAACATGAGTAATTATGTTAACTTTCTTAAGCTAAATTTCTTATTCGCAGTTCAATCTCCTAAAAGGACACTTCAGGGAATTTTCTAGTCCAATTCTAGTAGAATACTTATTCCAAAAGAACAACAGGCAACCTGTTTCTGCATCAATGAGTACTACCACCACCATATTTTGGCATTTTCCACAAAAGAAGATGCATAAAAAAAAAAATACTTACTGAATGACAGGCTACATAATGAACAAAGCAAATGTGTTTTTTCCTTATTTATTTGTTTCTTCATTATATTGCTAATTTGATAGACCTGTTTTTTCTATGAGGAAAATTTCTGTCTTTTGTACCTAGAAATCCCTCAACCTGCATTCTGGACCTGGATTCGAATTAGGGACATGGCAGAACACTACAATCCTTTGACATTCTAATTTATAACCAAACTAGAGTATACAAGGTTATCTTTTCCTCCATCCATTTGACTTCTCCCCCTTGGGCATGAACTGTTTAACAATCTGATAAGCAATCAGGTGTTGGAAGTTGGAACTAAGCTCTGATGCCAAAAATAATATGACTCTGGGTTTAGCTTTATATCCAGCTAGTGTGCTTGAAGATCTGATGCCAATGCAACTGGTTCCAAGCCTACTCCAAATCTATCATTTTTTGTACCAGCCACAACAATTTTTACATCAATGAACTTCCAAGACTACTCCAAATCCATCAATTCTTACCAATCACAACATTTTCGGCATCAGAGCTTCTCTAAGAGGCAAAATCTTAACGCATCAATATCATAAATTGATGACAACCACAACATAAATGATAGGATTGAATACAATTAAGCCCAAAACACCACTTGATATAAAAACAATTAAAGAATCAACAAGGTACAAAGCCCTTTGGGAAGGGCTAAAAAAAAAATTCACTCTTATATTTATGATTATCAGAAATACTCTTCCTTTCTAGCAGGACTCACCTACCAGCAGATTACCTTGATTATTGTAAATCTGATATCCGTGCAACTGATCTACTCAAAACAATTCACCACTGGTAAACCTTCAATCCCTTTATATCCTGATCATGGCAGCAAAAATTATTAGTGAAAATACAAAATCATAGAAAGATTATCAAAGAGCAATCAGGATCTGCAATTGTTCTTCTTAGACTCTCCTGCGGCCATCAAAACACAATTGAAGACAAAATGCAAGACTTTCATTCAAAAGTGATAGTTACCAATTGCTCTTCTTCAAGAAACCGACCAGAGAAAGAATTTATAAGACCTGCACCGCGATAACATCGATCCTCATTGCTCAAATAAACCCTAAGAAGGCCATTTTATAAAGCGCCTCAATAAATACCACCCCCATTTAAGGTAAGCTAGGTGGATTTTATTGGATATGAACGAATAATGACTAGCACGGGACACCCGGTGCATGAAACACTTTACCTGACAAATGCGTTCTGCTGAACAAGTGCAGTGGCATTTGTCACATCTGGCAAAACACTGATAGTGAGAATAATGCATGGTTCAAAAACAAAACTTAACAGTTAAACTCAGATTTACTTCTCTAAACTGCAGTGATAAAAGCGATTAAAATGAACAAGAGCTTTATTTTTTTCAAAAGTCATGTAAATGAAAATAAAATGAGGAGTTACAAATTATTACTTTGCTTCATTTCCATGTGTGATTTTGAATTCATTCCTCATAAGCCTTTACAAACCAAATCTTCACTATTATAGCAATTTCTAAGTAACTCTCTTAATGAATGAACAAAAATGAAAAACACATATCTAGCTTAGATATGATTTCTGAAAAATGCATCATCCGTTATAGAACTTTTGAACTAAATCAGTAAATGAAGCACTTGATAATGCCTACAAACTCCTTGTGTGTTTCCCAAATATACTTCATTCGTTAGAGACTAGAACTAATACACTATTGGACTTTTCGAAGCTCTTGATAAAACCACATTAGTTTCTACATCTATTTATTGATTAATGCCTTGTGCGCAATGCTTTCAAACACGAACCAATTATGTGATAAGGCTTGTTCATATGGTACATACTACAAAGAAAAAAGTAAGTAACAATTCATGAAGCTAAAAATCAAGTCAATTATGTTAAATTTTAGATAAAAACGGCACTTAAATAAACAGGAAAATGCAGACACGGGCATACCAGCATCCATCTCCGCAACCATTGGAAACCGACTTATGGTGGTTTGAACCAATCCCAAGTACTCAAGAAGATTCTTGCAATATCTACTCTCACTGCAAAATTAATTCAATAATTGCATAAACTGCCTATGCTGAAAATTAACAAAACCCTAAGAGAGAAAGAGAGAATAGAATAAAAATTATGGGTTTTCTTACAAATACTCACTCTCAAATTTGTAAGCAATGATGAAAGCCCCAGAATTGTTGGACCCAGATGAATGATAAGGTGTTCTTGCACACTCTGAGAGTCTGAAGATATTCCAAGCAGCTGGAGCACTCAAAAGTTGTGATCTTTTGGGGTAATTTCAGTGGTTCTTTGTATGAAGGGAGGATTGAGAGCCCAAAAGTCCATAACTTTGATGGGTTGCACTGAGCTCCTTCTTCTGGGTCGGCATCTGACACCATTATCGCCATTCAAGTAAAAGAAGGCGGTGCTGAATCGATGCTGCTTCTTTGGTCTCTGTGAATTTCAGGAAACATGGTGGAGGAGGAGGAATTGGATAAAGCTTGTATGGAATTGCTATTTGCAAATCGTCTAAAAAATCTCGTGATGGTTTCAATCCAAGTTACAAAGTTGCAACGGAAACAACATAGGCGCCAACTCAATCATGTTTCTCATAAATTTGGTACGACACTACGAACCTTTCCCACAATTTTTTTTCGTGAAATTACATTAATCACCCACATATTCTTACATTACATCAATTTTCTAGGGTTACACCAAGGAATTTTTGCCAACAATACAAAAAATAAAATTAAAATTAGGGTTGGGTTGGGTTATTCACACATTCTTTTACCTTCCACGTACTTAAATAAATTTTTGGTCATTTGATTGAATGCATTAAAGAGAATAAAAAAAAAATTATTAAGGGTATGCTATCCACACACTCCATTTTACTTCGCACACATCCTTTGATAATTTCTGTCCGTTGATCTTCTTCATTCATCTTATTCGATAGCAGAAAATTAAAAAGGTGTGTGAGAAGTAAAATAAGATGTGTGGATATCACACCCCAATTAATAAAGGATGTTGTGAAACGTAAAAAAATATGTGTGAATAGCACTACCAAAAATTGTTGTGCATTCTTTTCTCTTGTATGTGATTCCATGATTTTATAAGGAGATTGTTGTTAACTCCGTGACACATTATCATGCACTTATTTTTCTCTTATTTGGTTTATTAGAGAGAAGTGCATGATGACTTTGTTTGAATGCATTCCTCTCATCCGAATGTAATGTACATATTTCTTTTAGATCCATAGATCGTTCGATTATAAAGACAATGTAAATTTGCGAATTTCATTCGGATGCATATTATCGGCCTATTGGAATGACGATGTAAATTCACTAAGTTATGTCTGAATTTGCTTTCTGTATTGTTTATTTGGTTATGAAACAATTACTATTGATTTCATGAGTTTTGACACCTTCGAGTGAGATGAAATGCGAACAAATTTCAACTCCTAATAAATAACGAGTCATTTTTTATTACAAGTAAATCAAAACTTGGCATATGTATACAAATACTAGATAGTAATTGAGCAACGAAATTAAAAAAAAAACAATAAATTATATAAGAAAACGTTCATCTACATTCCACCATCCCACATTTTGCAGACATGACATATTTTATCTATATAATTCCGATCAACAAACACCTAGCTATCTGCTTGGGGTTTGGATTCCATCTGGACCCAAATTGTGAAGATCTTATTGATCCTCACATCTTAGTTATTCATAGTGTATCGTGCTGTTAAAAGTCATTTAACTTTTTTATTTAAAATTAAACACAAATACTATCTGATGAAAAATGGCCGCATGATATATGATAAATGGATAAGATATGAAGATCCCTAAGATCGCAGAGATGATCCTCTTCCATCTGCTTGAATCATTTTGACTTATTTTTCAATCAGTCAACAGATTTTCTGGAGAATAATATGTACACCATTTCCTGGCCCCACAATCATTTTGTAGGCAGGAGAATGCTTGTATTTTGGAGATAGAGAGAAAGAAAACTTGGAGATAACAAGTGAGAGCACAACCTTCAGTTCAACCATGGCTAAGTTTTTGCCCAAACATGTCCTAGGCCCCAACCCGAATGGGATATAAGCTTGGGGAAACTTGCATGCCTTTGAGACTCCATCGGTGAACCTCTCTGGTTTGAACTCATTTGCATCTGGTCCCCAAATTTCTGTGTCTCTGTGCAATGTTGGGATCAATGTCCATAAGCATACGCCTTTTGGAACGGTCATGTTTCCCACTTGAGTGTCTTCGAGTGCCTCTCTCGACACAAATGCGGCTGGCGGATATAGACGCATGACTTCTTGAATCACCATGGCCATCTGCATGGTCAAACAATCTAACATGTTATGTTTTCAGGTGGACTATTGTTTCAATGTGCAGACAATACTTAGTTGTACTGTCACACTGTCAATTTGGATCGTCAACTTAGTAAGACTTTGTTTGAATGTATAGTGACAACATAGTATGGTATCAGAACATTACTCAACATTGAACATAATTAACTAACATAACGAGCAATGCAAACACCCGTACCGTTTTCAACTGAGGGAGGGAGTTTGCGTCCGGCAGGCCATCCGGGCAAGCTTGAACCAACTCCGTCCTGATTCGGGCTTGCCACTCGGGATGTAAAGCGAGAAGCATCAAACACCAAGAGGCAGCAACAGCTGTGGATTCATGGCCTGCAAAATATATGTTCTTGCAGTTGTCAACTATGAAGCCCTTGGATGAACCTTTCCCTAGGGTTTGGTCATTGATGGCTCCCTCTAGTATTGTCTGCAACAAATCTTTTTGGTCACACGAGCCTTCTCTTTCTTCCACTGCCTCCCAGATCAAAGACTCAATCTCCCTCTCCAAACAGCCTATCTCGTTTGTCTTCTTCAATCCACTGCATTTTTCAGCATTTATGAATTATTTTTTCGTGTAGCGACAATCGAATGTAATCTAAACTGCCAACTACGCTCAGATCTGCAGTTTAGTGTACATTGTTAAATAATGGAAAGTTTACGTACCCCAAATTACTAAAGAGGAAGTTTTGCTTGGATATCACTTCTTGAAGACTTCTAAGCTTTTTGAAAATCTCTTTGCCCTTTACGTAAGAGCTTCCAAAACAAGCTCTTGATATAACATCTGCAGAGAAATCTCTCAAGTCCTCATCCACCTGAATCTCCGCTCTCACACTGCCTTGTGCTTCAATGGAGTCCTCCCATTTTCTAAGCAATGTCTGTCCAGACTCCAGCATCAGCCACACCATGCCCTGCCACATTATCTCAATGATAAGTCTGAGTTTACATATTAATCATGGAATAAAACATTTTTTCATTGTTCGAAATTTTGATTCGGAACCGGATTTAATTACCTTGACTTTGTCTGAGAAGAACTCAGGGGCAACAATCTTCCTTTGCTGTGACCAAACAATGCCATTGGACCTCAAAATGCCATTGCCAAGCATGGGTGCAAGTCTCTTGCTTACATAAGAAGGCTTGCCTAAATCCAAACTCATACACTGGTTCATCTCCTTCACTAGCTCTGGGTTGTTCACATACAAATGTTGCCTCATTCCTGTTGAATATGTGTACACTGGACCTGCAAGCATTTCATACTTCATGTCACTACTTTTCTTACCAACAGATAAAAGAGAGATTATAACTTGGAACATCTTTCAACGTTCGAAAGAGAAGTACAGTAAGATAAGAGCTTTTTTGATAATATTTATGCAGGAAACACTTTTGCTTGTAAGTGTTATTGCTGAAAACACTATTATTAGAAGCACATCGGAAAATTCATTAAAAATCTGAAATTTCTTCCCGTCATTCCTGACGAAACACTTTTGAATGTTAACTTTTTCTAACCAAATCATGTTAGAGCGTTTCTAGTTATGTTGAAGCGTTTATGGTAATTTGAAAGAACAGATATGAATTGATCATGAGCATATTAATACATGATTTGGAGGAGATGCCCACGTACCGAAGGAATTGAACAAGGTAATAAAGAACAGAAATGAAGCCCATTTTGATCATTCGAGTACTTCAGATATGGCCCTCCCATGGTACAACCATTTTAGTCATTACTTAATACTCATAAACCTTCATCTAAATCTTCAAACTTTTATAAAATAACTTTTATTTTTTGTTATATTATCAATCATGCCACATCAACAATTTTGGTTGATAATTTTGAGAATAAGAATTTTTATAATCTAATACTATATATTAGATGTGGCCCTACCATGTTCTAATCATCCTAAATAAAATAGTAAAATTCTAGTATATTGTATTAAAAATTTGTACAAAGTGGTCACTTAAAACTACGGTCTAAAAATATTTCTCTATATTTATAAGTGAGAGGTTTTAAATTGATTCTCACCAAAGGTGAATTCGAACCAAATTATTATGGCTAATCCATTGTGAGACTTAGCTAACTCTCCCGCTCATTTGTGTAGATAATATCATATGCATTAAAAATATAAAAAATAATATTATTTTACTTAGTTTAAAAAGTTGACATCCCATATTTAATTGTATCTTAAAATAAAGAGAATATACTTAGAAAGTAACAAGATTTAATATTTCTCTATTTGTACACCTTGGATTCTATTCATTAGTTCTTAGGTTCCGAGACATTGACATGATGTTTATTTATTAGCAAAAGAAATGTAATTTGAAAGAATGAATACGTTGTGTAAACCTTGGCTTAAGCATTTGCAGACTAGGATATTTTATTTTTACCTTCATTGTTAAGCGTGTGTTATTCACTTCAAATCCAGAAATTGATCATTGAAAAAGCTGTACTCATTCGGCATCTTGTACTTGCTATGTTTATATTAACAAATCTCCATTGCTTCTTGTCGGAAAAAAAAAAAAAAAAAAAAAACACACACACACGATATTTTTATCTACTTTAACTTATATAAGATTTGAACATGAATTTAAAAGACACATTGTTCAGACTAATTAGCTAAAGCGTAATATAAGGAATACTAAAATTTGAATTAAATTTGCAAACCAAATAATATATCACCAATATAAAATAAACACGTTAATAAATACTAAAATAATATCCAATCATCAACAACATCAGTATGTTTTTAAAGGAATCAAATGGTGACTTCTGCCAAACAGTTCACCTTTTCAGAAGCAGAGAAAAATCACAAACAACAATATATTTATGAAATTTAATTTAAAATTTTAATTTTTCTAACATTTATGCAAAAACATATACACAACCCTAAGATGGCTTATTTTTGACATGCCCTAGTCAAACTCTGACAGGTGTGTATGGAATCCAAGCATCTTAAAAATGGTTTGCATAGGCCAGATTCCGCCAAATCCCATTGACTGAGCGGGACCATTGACTCCCCTCTTCAATCTCCAAAATTTTCACAGCAAAAATCAAATTCTTATGAACTCTATTTTCTTCTTAGCTTTATTATATCCATTCATTTGTTTGGATTTATTTCCCTAATAAATTTTCTGTTTTCATGTTTAATAAAGAAAAAAATTTACAGACATGTGTAGGAGTCATAGCCTTTGTGTTACGTATAAAAATTCATATATATAACATATATAGCAGGCCACAGATAAATGCTTAAAGAACAAACATTGGATTGGATGGGACTAATTATAACAAGCAGAGAAGGATTAATGAATACCGTATTGTTTTCTCCAGTGTTCGAAGTATGGGAAGAGAGTGGAGGTGTAGTCATGGGCTACAAACTCAGCAGCCAGCAGGTTTGGAGGCTTCAACTCTTGCTGTTGTTGGATTTTCTGCATCTCGGGAAGATTCCCATACAGAAAAGAAGGTGCAGGGCCTTTGATGCCTTGCAGTCGGAGATTCCTTCTGACCCTCTCGGATTTTAGCCAAACAGTGCTGTAGAGGTGGAGGAAGAAGCCAACCAGTCCCACGACAGCCATGGAAGAAATTATTCTCAACAGAAGAGACACCTCCATCTCTCTCTCTTTCTCTATCTCTCTCTCTCAGTTTCAGTATGATATATATAGGCTATGAACCAGCAGAAATGTTATTATCAAACGTTTGTCATTTTGAATTATTGATGTAAATATACTTATATTTATTTTGAATATTATAAAATATGCTAATTGTCTAACAAAAAACTATTACCACAGTCGCTTAGCTCCATACAAGTAAAGATGTATTTATTTCTTTCTTAATTGCCAATCACATTATAAATATTTTATTGAAGCCAAAAAAAGAAAACATGTCAATTCTAGTTTGTGTGCAATGAAGAACGACTTATATATTCGATAAAAAAAAAAAAAAGAACGACTTATATATATATAAAGAGTTTAATATTTTTCTATATAGAACTGAAGCATTTACCATTGTATTCGTCTATTTTCTTCACTACAAATGAATGTCTTATTGGTTTTCGATTTGTCTTTTTTTGTTGTTGCAAAAGATGATCTATAAATGATATTCTAAAAGATAGATGGTTCGGATCATTAAAATACATTACGGAGTGAGCCTCACAAAAAATATGTGTTAAAAGTTATGTAAAAAAATTGGTACCAAGGTTCCGCCCCCCTTTTGTTTATTAAGCAAGTGATACCACCCTATCTATTCTAATTTGGATCCACTTTGAAAATAATTTATTTTTGAGAAATGATTTTTGAAGAATGCTAACTACTTTCCCTATTTACATTTTCTTACTTATTTATTTATAACTCATCACTTGACACGTATATTCTACTAACAAATTGAATTACATAATTCATGTTTTTGAGGTAGAAAATTAGAGCTAAGATTTTAATATATTAATTATATAATTTAATTTGTTAGTAGAATACACATATCAAGTAATGAGTAGAAAAGATACATAGAGTAAAGCAAATGAAAAAAAAGAGACACCATTCCTCACAATTTATACATCATTTTTCTCCTTTTATATACCTAAATTTATTTCCGTCTCTTAATCCTTCTTGATTTTTCTTTGCTTCATTCGAATTTAAATGCAAATAGTAGCCAACTTCTCTGGTCCTTTACTTTGACAGGCAAGATATTGACATATGTACTAAATAATCAATGAGGAAAATTGTATGCAGATTTGATATGTCTGGCATTATTGATATAAAATAGGACTCTGCCCAGTAAATCTGTACTAAATAATCTGTACGTGGAAACACATAAAAGGTTGAAGAGCTTACCATGTTTAAGAGCATGTTTAAGAGAAGGGAAGAGAAGGGAAGAGAGAGAAAAATACTAAAATGATTCTCTTAGAGTAAGATTTTTTACTATTTAATAGTTTAACGTTAATTTTCATATTAATATTATAAAATGTAAAAACATAAAAGGACTCAAAGTTCACCGAAAAGTTTGCATTTGAGAAAATCTCTTGAGCATTTATCTTATTAATATGAATGGATTAGCATTATTTGCAAGTCGGTAGGCATGAAGCCCAAAAAGGAGCTGCAAGACAAAGGCACGTTTTAACTCTTTTATCATAATGAATGATCATGTACTTGTTATGCCGATGACAAGATTGATGAAATGGACAAAATCAATTTCGTTGAATTTAATTTTATTAGGGTTAGTCGGCAATCTTATACACTGATGTCCGCAAGTTAAATACGGTGCTGATGACATGCATTTTTACACATATAATAGGATCCAAAATTAAAAAATGGAAGTTTATGTTTTGCTACATATGAAGAGATGTCGTCTCCAAAATAATTTAGCTAAGTTAGTTAGAACAATATACTTTCCTTTTTACATCTAAATTAGAAGAATCGAAATTCATGCATGATGAAACAAAATGCTTAGAGCCTGTTACTTGCAACCACATAAGCGGTTTTCCATTTGTTGAGCCTGATAATGGACAAGGATCCTCTCCTGAGCTAAGGATGAGGATCCTCCTCATCAATGAGTGTGGGCCGTTGGATGAAAATCCAACGGCTTATTCATCCAACGGCTTCAAATAAGGAAGTCCCTTTAAAGTTATAATAATTGTAACCGTTGGATTTTTATCCAACGGCCCACATCTCTTAATAAGGAGGATCCTCATCCTTAGCTCAGAAGAGAATCCTGGTCCCTTATAATGGTACGGGGATCTTGCGAGGGAAAAAGGCCCACGATTTTATTGTAAATGATTTATTATTTGTAAAAATAAAAAAAATAAAAAAAGCATCGATAACATTTTAGTAAAAATGGAGCCCAATTACAAAGTGAAACCTCTCTCACACCAACCATTTTAGAGTCAAACGAGAGTGGGTGAGGTTGAGTCCTATCCCAAAAAAGAAATATTTTTGCTCATCGCTTTAAGGTAGTAGTGATGTCTATCACTCCATAATTACCGTTGGATGAATTTAATTTAATTTATTTGTTACATAAATTTTAAAATTCAAATTAATCCAACGATAATTAATATAGCGGTGAGCAAAAATTACACTCTCCCAAAAATAAACTTCTTCAAATTTTGTTTCAAATTAGCAATAGCACATGCAAGAAAGTAAAAGTATTTGATACTTTATTTGAATCCAATTTTTTAAATTAAAAAACACTTGTATAGTTTTAGGTCTTAAAAATTTATTTGGTATGACTATTTTACAAAAATGAACTCAAGATTAACTTAAAAACATTAAAAATAGTTTTTAAAGTCTTTAAACTTAAAATCCATTTTTTATATTTTCTCTCTTCCCCTCTCACTCCAAATCTCTTTCTCTTTTCTTCTCTCTCTACACATTTCCTTTCTTTTTCTTCTTTCTCACTCCTCTAGTCTGCTCTCTTCATTTTCTATCTTCATTTTCTATCTTCTTTATCTCTTCCCTCTTTCTTTTTATCTCTTCTGATCCTTTCTCTTTCTTTCTTTCCCTCTCTCTCTCTCGTCCTTCTCCCACTCTTGCGACCTTTCTCTTTGGATTGCTTTTGTTCACTCTAAGTTTTAAGATGTAAAATTTTTAAATCTTATATCAAATAAGTTTTTTAACCTTAAAGAAATTTATTTTTTTAGAAATAATGTTCTTAAGAAATATTTTTTTTAAATTATGAATTTTTTTGAATAAGACACCGAACAGATCATAAACATCTCATCGATATTATCTTAATAAAGTATTTAAAATACATAGACTAAATAATGGATTTTAATCTTGGAATAATAGATGGCGACTCCAAAACTATGTGAATCACACGCTTCGAGTCCCTTCAACAACCATCACTGTTGTAGATGCACGCGGGATGGGCTATAGTAATATGGGAGTGGCAACAGTGAAAGTGGCGATCCCGGGCTCCACCTAAGCTAGCTAGCTAAACCATTGGCGAGCGGAAATAGTGATTTACAAAGGAGGAGGATTATTTCCCCTCTTAATCTCTTTTCTCTTCTCTTCTATTTGAACAGTCATGGTTAAATCACGTCAACATTTTATATTAATTTTTTTATAAAGATAATAAGATAAAAAATAATGTGTGAGAGAAGGGGAGGGAAAGAGATGATAATAGAATGAGAAAGAATCCTACTCTATTTACAAAACATTAAGGGGTGTAGTCAAACTAAGATTTTAAATGATTTTAAAAGTGATAAATTTGATAGGATTTAAGAGGATTAAAGACTCTTATAAAATTCATATGGATTTTAAAGAATTTGAATCGATTGTGGTGGATTGTGGGGGAAAGATTTGAAATCCTAGGGGGTGAGGTTGAATTCTTTTTAGTTTTGGTTATACATACTTTTTGCTTTCAAATCCCACAAAATCCACAACTTAATGAAATTCTCATGTATTCTAAAATCCTTTAAAATCTTTTAATTGACTACACCTAGATTTTAATGGATTCTAAAATCTTTTAATTGACTACACCTAGATTTGAATGGATTCTAAAATCCTTTAAAATCTTTTAATTGACTACACTATAATTTTAAAGTCTTTTAAAATCCTCTCAAATCCAAGTTTGACTACACCCATTTAACTACATGAGAAATGCAAGTATAATTAACTTAATTAGTTTCAGAGAAATACTAAAGAGACACTTTTAAAAGTGCGACTCTTTATGGACTTTCTGTTACCTCATTTTTTTGCATAATATTTTATAATGTTAGCATGAGAATTGACGTCAAACTTTGAGGTGTCAGAGAGTCCATAAAAAGTTTTACTTTGAGAAAGTTTCCTTAGTACTTCTCTTAGTTTGATTAGCATTACCCCAAAATTGTCTTAGTTTTTTTTTTAAAACAAAAAGTTTAGGGGAAGGGCATGATATCTTATCTCAAGGACAAGTCATACCACAAGTCTTTTTGAAAATTTACATAAAGATCTTAGCTCCATAATTTTTTTGTTTTTATAAATTGCCCACCACAAAAAAATTGTCTACATCGAAACTCGCTAAAGACTATCTTAATTACTAAAAGAGAAATGTTAAGGAGACTCTCTCAAAAGTGAGACTCTCTATGAACTCTATGTCAATTCGTGTTTTAGCACACTATTTTTTGTAATGTTGGCTCGAAAATTGACGTTAAACTGTGAGATGATAGAGAGTTTATGAAGAGTCTAACTTAAAAATAATATCTTAACATTTTTCTTACTAGAAAATAACACATGCGTTGCAATTTGCACACACTCATATGTGAGAAATTGACAAAAGATCTTCGAGGTTCCTAATTACTTTTTAGGACCACTTTATAGTTTATACTTGAGTTATCTCATATATCTAATGGACCACTGATGTGACCAAACTTATCTTGTGAATTGATCTTGTTTGAGAGGCTTTGAAACTATCTTCTTGTTTCCAACTCTCAACTAATTATGCCCTAATCGCACTTGCGGCCGAGATTGTTTGTTATACGAACATACAGAGTGTACCGTTATATTAGCACAACTATAATGACCTAATAGTTCAAATCACTATTATTAATTACGCGAACACATTTTGAATTACTAAATTAACATAATTTAATGATCCATGCAGCTATTGCACGAGAAAATTCCTCTCAACATTGTACAATTACGCATATCATTATTATTTTTATCCAATTACTTCTTGGAT